GCTGCCACCGCCTCAGCACCCCGCCAGGCACTAGCCAGGCACTAGGCTGGGTGTTCCCCATGGCTCCCAGCTCCCCGCCTCGTCTACACTTCCTACTTCCAAACCCCATCACAGGTGGCCTGGCTCCCAGGGAGGAGACTCAGCTCAGGGCAGGGATGGCCCCCAACCAGACGGTATTGCACATTCTCTGTTCCTTACTTTTAATCTCAACTGACAAACTTGGGCACCTGGTACCTCCGAGCTGGGGGAGGGGAGACATGACAGAAATGGCACTTTGTCATGGCGGGTGGGGCGGAAGAGGCTAGACAGACATGCCACAAGGCAAGGTGATTTGCAGGGAAAATTTAAAAAACAACAAAAAACAAAAAGAAAAAAAAATAATAAAAAAGCTTCCAATTTCGTGGAAGAGAGAAAAGCAAAACCAAACGATTTATCCAGTGCTTTCAAAGCACAGAGGGCAAAGATGTAAGAATATATCTTTATATATATACGTATATATATATATATAATTTTAAAATAACCCCAGACCCAGTTTCATAATCCCCCCTCTCCCCCACTTACAGTCAGGGGCACCACAGGCCCCAGAAAAATACTCCAAACAGCCCATCACTATCTGTTACTAGCATCTAGCTTCAGATCACTTCACCACTGGGGGAGCCCAGACACAGACTGTATCTCTGCTCCTTTATTAAGTGCTCAATGAATTTGGGGGAAGGGAGGAAAGAAAAAACCCAGGAAGGCCCGTAGGGCCAGTAGAGTAACCCACAGGGGCTCTGGGGTATGGGGAGGTGGGGACTGAGCCTGATTCCAGCTCCTTCTCCCCACCGACCCACAAACTTTATGGGCAAGATGTGCAGTTTGTGTGTGTGTTAATTTTAAAAGTGCCTTCTTACTTTAAAAACATTATTTAATTTTTTAAAATAAAAGTGGGGGAACTTTCCCAGGTGGCTTTCAAGGGCAAAATTCTAAACTCCTCTTCACACGTCTCTGCTCAGTGTATCCCTTTCCTGTACTCTAGCAGCTTCTAGAGCTGGAGAGGCAGGTGAGTGTTACGGGAGAGCAGAAACCCCTGCCTTTTAGGGGCTTCCTTTACCTCAGAGACAGCCTGGTCCCCCTCCTGCTTCCCCCACGGTGTGGGCAGATGGGGTGCTAACCTCTCTTATCCCCAGAACAGCAACATTGCACAATTCAGTTCATTCCCTACATTAGTAGCGCTCAAGAAAAAGCTGAAAACAACAAAAAAGGAAAATTAATAGATTTCTGGAGATGGGTTGGGGAGGGGGACACCACAACTACTTTTGCAGCCGAGACCCAGAGCTGGCTTTGACCAGAGTTGTGTGGCTCTGAGCAGTGGGTTCTGCACTCAGGACAGCAGACCAGGGCAGGACTCCAAGCTGGTGAGGCCTCCCTGTTCCCTCCTCCCGGCTGGAGGGTGGGACAGACAGATGGGGTCTCACCTGCTGGGAGAGAAAGCCCTTCTCTCTTCCCTTCTCTGTCTCACTCAGTATGTCCCGCCCAGCTCCCAGGACACCAGCTAACTCAGGCTGGGAACAGCTACGCCTCCCAGATTATAGACGGGACTTGGGGACTGAGTTTACCAGGAGCAGATCAGGATTAAAAAGGTGGGGGTGGGGGGGGATTTTACAAAGAAAGTAAGGTGAAATAATTTTGGGCTAGTTGACCTGGAATAGACCTCTATCTCCACTGGGACCAGGAGAGCATCCAGGAGGCCAACACCAGCCTCCGTCCTCCTTGGCTCAGCACTATACTTGTCCCCATGTCCCTCTCCCCTTTCTCTGTGGGTCAATTCCGTGGTGGTTACATTTTAAAGCTTCTCCCTCCAGGCTCATTCCCCTCATTCTTAGAGCCCAACTTCAGTACAAAACACCACCTCCCAGACTGTCCAGCCCAGAGACACCAAGGGCTGATGTCCTCCCTATCTGATGCCATCACCTTGCCCCACCCCCAGGTTAAGTGCATTAAAAACTTCTGCCCCCAACGTTGCCAGTCATATCTGCTTGGGGACCCCCTGCAATGCTCCTGTCATTTATCTGAATGTCATCTGTGTTTACAAAAAAGAAAAAAAAAAAAGAAGAGAAAAAGAAAAATATTGAGAAAATAAAAAGGTTTAACCGTCCACTGAACAAAGGGGAGGACACACAACATCATTAAAAATGATAATAATTAGAGCATAAAAACTTTAGAAACACACGTCAGAGGGCTTAGATTTCTCTCTCCCCAGGACCTCACTCTGACCTCACCCGAGGTGAAGAGCACCTCACTGTGAAAGAAAACCGGAGAGAAGACAAGAGCGGCAGAATCGCAGCAGTGAGAGAGGGGTGGCGGGCAGGGCAGGCGCGTTTTCCTGTTGATTTCTAGGTTTGTCTTCTGTTTTCTGTTTTGTTTTCCGTGTATGGTAGGCACCAGTACAGGCACTGCATGCGACGGAAGTTGGGGGCAATGGGAGAGGAGGGGTAAAGGGTTCAAGGCTGGGGCAGTGCACGTGGACAGGCGTTATTTCTGCCCGCTGATGGACTGCGCTATAGACCGGGGAGGGATCATGTCTAAAAGGTACTCCCGCTGTCTGTCTGCCAAACTGGGAGCTTTGTGTCCTCCGATGCCGGTGTTCAAGTATGCAATGTTGACACCTGGACCCAGGAGACAAAAGCGGGAGTGGGGGGGAGGGGTGGAGGGGCAGGCGTTAGAAGAGGAAGCAGCATCTTCTTGACTGCACGACCCGGTGACCGTCCCAGGTATGACCTGGGAGGACCCGGGGGCGTGGACTTGGGAGGTGGGGCGGGGGCACCAGAGGTTGTGTGCATCTGTCCAGACTTAGGTAAGTGTTATGTCAGCAGCCAACTGCCCCTCGGCACCCCACGTTTAGGGAAAGGGGTCCTCTCGAAACTTCAGTCCTACCAGGAACAGAACAAACACGGTCTTGACGGGATGGGAGAGTCAGAGAAACAGAGGAGAGTAATGAAGACACAGGGATGCACTCATGGAATACGCTTTGGATTTCTGTGAAGCAGCAGCCCTCCACCATTCCAACAGGGTGGGGACAGCTGACCCTGCTCTTGTCGTCGGGGTCAGTGACCACACACCCACCAACGGGGCCACCAGACAGTGAACAGACAAGGGCAGGGACTGTGCTGTTTTCACCACCAGAACCCTATTGCGCTGTGCTCTGCATGGACCATGAAGTTAGCAAACATGCTAAATAACCAGAGTGAAGGGAGAAAGGCCTAAAGAAAGCACAGAAGCGGAAGAGCGGCCTGCTAGCCTGAAGGCCCCTCCCATCACTGTTTCTTACCTGGCATCCCAAGGAGGCCACCAGGCACAGACAGCTGGGGCGCCTGCGCGAAGTTGGAGAGCATGGAACGGGCAGATGTGGGTATGCCGCGCTGGAGGCCGCTCTGGGGCTGTGGAGCCTGTGACGGGGAGCAGACAGTGGGTCACTAGGTGGCCGCGATGGAAGGGGTGGGGTGGGGGGGTAGGGGTCCAGGAAGAAGGACTTCCCAGCATAGGCGGACACGCTGGGATCCACGGCTGGCAAACCACCCCAGACGGCCTCACCTGCCGAAGCGTATGATGTCTCATGATGGTCTCTTGTTTACTGACACTGGACACGGCCGGAGCCGCAGTGGGGGAAAGGGCTGCCTGCTGCTGTAGTCGCTGTTCGATTTCCTGTCGGGAGTCAGCAGGTCAACTTGGCAGGACAGCACCCAATTTCCTACCCAGGAAACCTAGGCCTCCTCCTATTTCTACTGCTGCCGACGCGACAAGTAGGAGGGATATGGAGAAGGCAAGTTGGGGCTCTGGGCACAAAGAGCTAGCCCTGCTTTGCTGATTAAGGGGTTCGTCTGTCCAGGAAAAGCTGGCGCTCAGATGCCGGCAGGAGACGCCTGGGTGGTGGCAACCAGCTGACGGACGTGACGGTGAGCAGTTTATGGAGGTTTTATTTTTGACTCCTGTCTACCTGTTTTCCAGAAGGTCCCTGGACGCCACCCAAAGGGGTCTGATGGGTGGTGGGGTGGAAGCAGGATTGAGGGGAAGGATCCAAGCTTCCCAACACATCTTCCCCTCGCCCAGACCGCAGGGCACGCCCGCTCCCTCCTTGCCGTTCCTCTTCGCCGGGCCACATTACAGTCCACTCTCTCCTGGGTCGTTCCCTTGTCAGATATGGACTGCAGAGAATTCGGTCTCTCTGAGAGATTTCCAGTACAAATATAATCCCTCCCACAAAAATCCATTTGTTTGAGGAGGACAAGAAGTTGAGGGATTTCTTCGGCCGCCACCAGGGAAAGCCACGTGTCTGCCTCCTGTCTGTCCCCACCCTGGACCACACTGTCATTCATGCTCTTGCCCCACCAGAGACAGTCACATGGAGATCAGCAGACAGATCGGTATGGGGAGGAACAGGGAACCCGGGCCTCCAGGCCGTCAGGACTGTGGGGATCGCACAGACAAATCCTCTAAAAACTAGAAGGAGCTACCTTTTGGGAAAACCCAACCTGAGTAGGTGGTTGGGGAGACATCAGGATTCTTACCTGTTCCTGCTGTAGGGCTTTAACAAAAGCATTTTTCAGCCGGTTGGTGTGTTCGGCCTTTAGAGCCTTCTTCTGGTTGGAGGTCATACACTGCTCACACAGAATCTTACCATTCTTCTCTTGCTTCCAGTGAGGGGTGAAATCTGTGCGGCACTGGGCGCAAACAAAGGGTTCGACCCGCAGGAGTGAGGCACAGCTTTTGCCTAGATGCCAACAGAGAGAGCAATCAGGGCCTTCGCATCTCCCCATCTCCCGATTCTCTTCACCAAATGAATTTTTCAGGAGGTTATTCTGCTGAATTCAGAAAGAGACTCTACAAGAAGAGTACTCTGCAGTTTATAAAATAACTTTTATTTCATTCGACGGTAACATCACTTTAGGGAATTCAGACGGTACCGTCCCCACTTACAGAGGAGGACACGAAGAAACAGAGCTCCTGAGGGCAAAGCTGAGACAAGAACCCGGGTTTGCGGACTTTTAGTACAGCAAGAAGGAAGCGTGCTAACTCACAGGGCGGCAGACTCCACCTGGGTCCGCGACACAGGCTCCTTAGCACGTTTTGACCTCAGACCGCACTGCCACATTTACACCATTTAGTTACCAGTGTCCGAATTAGACCCGTTTAGAGTCAATGCTGAGCCCTTCAGGCACTTTCCTCCACCGTCAGGTGTTCCCCTAAGTCCACAGATCTGGAAACTCAGGCTTAATAACTTCTGTTAGTGTCAATGCTTCACAGTCTGGGTCAGCTCTGGTTCACAGCTTCCACGTGGTCACGGTCACCTACTCAGTCAGTACACCTACTTTCCCACCTGTAAGTCCTCAAGTGGCAGGGACTGAACGTTAACAACGCAGCGCAATGCCACACAAGCGCTGACGTTACACGCTAAGTGTTCTAGTCACCAAATTGTGTATACATCGTGCTGGGCACCACTGAAAAGGACCAAACGATATCCTGCCAAAAATATACACGATCTACAAAATACAATACAAATGTTAAGCCTAAGATATACAGACATACAAAAGGCATTTCCGAGTAACGAACAGGAGGTGGTCTGACAACAGTAAGAACAGGTTACTTGACGTCACACAGCGCCCTGGGATACGCGGCCCAGGTCAATCAGGCTCGGCAACCTCCTGTGTAGATAAAAGACTGACCACAAAAAACAGCCTCACCTTGGCTGTCGATGACACTCTGTACGACTTCTTCCAAGCCCACCATGTAGATGAACTCGCTATTGGCCGCGCTAGGCAGGAAGTGAAGCAGGGGAGCAGGAGGTTTAGGCGGCGGAATCTCCAGGAGGGTCTTTTCCAGCTGTTTGCGAAGAGCCAGTTTGGCGGCAGCCTGGGAGTTGGCGGCATCGGTCATGGCGCTGGGGCTCGGCAGGGGTGAGGACACCCTGTTCACAGTCCCCGGCTGCATGTGGGAGGCGAGGTTCATATAGATGGCAGAGGATGTTGTGCGCTGGCAGGGAACAGAAGAACTCGACTGCTGGAATGGAGGGGGCACAGGGTCAGTGGCGGGGTGCGGGGGAAGGACGAATTCTTGCTTCAGTGGCAGAAAACACTACCTGAGCCGAGTTGGGACAACTTAGCTTTCCCAAAACTCAGAAAAAAGGACGAGGTGTCCAACCTCAATGAAGAAGAACTCCAGCACACGGGAAAGGAGAACGACAGAAGCTAGGAGGCGGAGGAACACAAGCATGGGGGATGCTCTCTGGCCCACATCCTCAGGCCTCTTCTTCCCCTGACCCCCGCTGCTTTCCTCCAGGCGGGTGTGAGCCTGCTGCCGCTCTGCCATACAGCCTCCCTTCTCCGCTCCTACCCCAGGGAGGCCCTCCAGCTTCCACCCTGGGCACTACGATCGATACAAGCTCTACCGCAATTACCCTGGCTGTCCTAGAGCTTCTCTATGTCCCAAACCGTACGGTCTGTGGTCCTTTCAACAGGGAAAGCAAAGAAAAGACTTCTCTGGTTCCATATTAGGACTTTCTCACCGGTTGGTAATTGATGGCAGGATTCATGTTGGGTGTTGTGGTGCGTACAAGGCCAGGCTTAGGTGGGCCCCGTTGACCCTGTAGCTGGGCTGGGTTTGGTGCAATAACACGTTGGGACATCAACATATGTGGGAGGGTGGTACTGGTCGCGGAGCGGATGACACTGTGACCCTGAGGGGGAAGAAGAAGAAAAGAAGCAGTCATAGGTGGTAAAACGCTCCACCAACATGCTAGAGAGAGAACACTGCCTGTAACACACAGCTGAGTGGAAAAACAGAAACACAGCGAGACTCGGGAATTCTGTCTACTCCTAGACGAGAAGGGACTAAGCTAGAAACCTCCAGAGAAGAAAAACCACGGTGGGAAGAGGAGGATTACTTGTCCCACTGTGCCACCCAGTAACACACAGCCGGTCAGCGAGGAGGGACCAACGGGACTGTGTACAGCACCAGCACCTCTACCACGGCCAGGTTCTTCTACGATCGTCACAGAAGTCCCAAACCAGAGCTGGGATACACGGGGCCCCAAGGCAGGTTACGCACCTGTAATGTTCTCAGACTCTGTGGTTCCACCCCTTGGGCCCCAGGCCGGGAGGGAAGCTTGGACAGGCCCTGCTGTCCCCCATGCGCAGGAGATGGCTGCACGATGGACGCCGCGTTCTGCACAACCGGGGTCTGGGGGAGAGAAGACAGAATGAAGAAACAGAGGCAGAAGTCTAGTACACTCCTGGACCTTAAAAATCCCCAGTGTGAAGCTTCTGTTGACCAGAAGGAAAACCGAGAAAAATGGAATCAGGGTTTTCTTGATTAGGGCCTACAATTAAAAAAAAAAAAAGAAAGAAAAGAAAGAAAAAATAAATCACTCTTCTTAGAAACTAAAAAGCACGGAACTGGACAAGAATGGGCCACCCAGTTGAACCTACCTGGGTGAGGCCACTGTCAGACCCAGCCCCTTACTTCCAGGGCGCAGTCAGTACCTTCTGGACTACGTTCTCCTTCTGGAGCTGGCTCTGCCTCAGCTTCTTCAGCAGCACCAGCCGGGCTTCTTCCAATCGCAGCTCATCCCTCAGCTGCTTGATGAGCTGCTGCCGCTCCTCAATGCCTTTCCCCTAAGGAAACACGAGGTCCCTCAGCTACGGGAGCAGGCACCCAGAGTCCCCCTTCCTGCGAGATGGTCTCTTCTTCCAGGGCTGAGCTCTGGATCTTGCACACGAAGCAGAAGTAGTAATGGGGATTACTGTCTCTGTGTCCCTGGATCTAGCTCAGGGCTAGGGATTCAGCAGGTGCTCAGAAGATGCTTACAGAACATAAATGCTAATCAACCAGATTCCTGGCAAAATAGAAGACGGGGCAAAGGGAGATGCAAAGGGAACTGTTCTTGAAAACACTGTTTCCAGGGGTGCCTGGGGGGCTCAGGCGGTTAAGCATTGACTTCAGCTCTGGTCATGACCTCATGGTCTGTGAGTTCAAGCCCCCCGTTGGGCTCTGTGCTGACAGCTCGGAGCCTGGAGCCCGCTTCGGATTCTGTGTCTCCCTCTCTCTTTGCCCCTCCCCTGCTCACGCTCTGTCTGTCTCTCTCAAAAATAAATAAAACATAAAAAATTTTTAAACACTGTTTCTAGAACTTATTAAGCCAAGTTTCTTCTAGATATACATAAAAACTTAGGAGTTTCTCCACATCATGAGAACCAGGGTACAGTGGTTCCAGCCAAGAGTTTATTTCTGTGACTTACTGAGTTTTCACTTTCCAAAGATAAATTATACTGAATATGCTTTGTCACACTATCTTCTTCACTTGATTCTCATAATGCCCTCTAAAAGGGCATGCCCTCAGGGCACCTGGCTGGTGGCTCAGTCAGTGGAACCCAAGACTTTTAATCTTAGGGTTGTGGGTTTGAGCCCCATGTTGGGTGTAGAGATTACTTAAAAATAAAATACATATATATTTATATATATATATTTTTTA